AAAAAAAATGTGCATAAGTTGAGCCAGTGGCATCACAGAGATGCTAGCAGACACCTATCAATAGCATAAATAGACCCAGTTTCCAACAGCAGAACAAGGAACAAGGCAATTCCTTAGTTGCTATCATCTTGGAGTACTTTCTTTGTTTCTCTACACGGGACGTTCTGACTAGGAGCTCTGGTAGATACTCATCTAAGACATTAGGAAGGCATCTGTTTAGGAAAATCTAATGTTAGATAACTGTGTGCATGTATAATTTATTGGTCTGTAAATGTAAGATAGGAATTTTATGTTTTAAAGTGCTCATTGGAAACAGTTTCACAAAATCAGACTTACAGTGTTCTCTTGTGTCTTCTAGATCACAGTGATGGTGAATCTAGTAAAAAGCAAATGGTGTTTGGTATTGTTACGGCAATTGACTTGCTGAACTTTGTGACTGCTGAGGAACAGAAGAGAAAGACAACCTAAGTTCAAGAAACACATCAATGGGGCTCGTTTCATTGGCTTTTCACATTAAAAAAATCTCTCTCTTCTTCTTCTTTGCTTCTTTTGTTAGAACAATCTAGAAAAAAATCCTTTTGGACAAAATGAGAGTCATTATAAACCATTGTTAGCTTTTAAAAGGTAATTTCTGGAATGTAGCAAGCACACTGAAATATAAGGACACTGGGAAGTTTTAGGATGAATAGTTTCAGTGAAGAATTGCTTTGTTTGCACATACAGGTTGTGAAGGCACAGCTGAGTTGGAGAGGACTAAGGCCTGAATGATCAAGCCATCATAATAGGATGGCTATGTGACAGCTTCCCAAAGCCCACTGCTAATCCTGCTTCCACATTATGGTGTGGTCTAGAAAGTCTTCCATTTCTTACACTGTACTGTTTTGCAGCCTAGAATGGTAGATAACCTTAATCTTTTAGAACTTGACCACTGTCAAACATATTGGCTGTCTTCTAGTGCACGAAAGAAAACACAACCACTTCCTAACCCAATATTCATAAAGGAATTGTCTTCGTGTGTATCAAGAGGTTGAAATATAAAATTACATGAGCGATAGGGAATGTGGTATGAAAACATCTTCTCCATTATGATTATTTTAAGCTCTTTTTACAGATGCTAGTTTATCCAGATGTTTCTGCTGAATTCGATATTCCAACCCTCAACATTAAGATGACAAAACATCCTTTATTCTCCCTATTTACTTTCTGAATTCTTAATAGCAATGCCCTTCCTTATTCTGGTTAAATTATTGGTGCAAGGGGAAGTAAGTAATTGCTTTGACAGTTAGTAAAAAATGAGGGGGGAAATTCTTTAACTGGTACATGCTGTTTCTTCTCTGTATACATTGTGTATAATCAAAGATAATTTTGTGTACTTGAAATACTACCAGCTCATAGCCCAGCCTCTGGCAGCATCAGAAAACACTGTATTTTCTCTACTGTTAAATATTCTAATGTTCTATTAAATCTATTGTTGGCTAACTTGATTACTAATATATTTGTTCCACAAAGACCAAATCAGAATATTTAATATTAAAGTATTATATCGGCACATTATTTTAACTGTCCAGCATCACATTGGCCAATAATTGTTATCTCTGCTTTGTTTATGGGTATGCTATGTTACTTTAAATGAAACTTGTTTAGCTGGTCTTAATAGGGAATAACTGCAAACAAATTTAGCTGTTTTCTGATTCTTTTGGTAGTCTCCTTTAATGCAGGATTTTTTTTCTTTTCTGGCTTACTTTAACCTCTACTGGAAGTTTTAAAGAAGTGTGCTACCTGTATTAATACTGTACTTTCTCTAGTCTCTTGTTTCATTGCAGAAAAATATTGACACAAATCAAGGACCCAGTTATCTGTACAGAAGTTTCCTGCATGTGTATGGAATTCACATTATGATATAAAACCACTAAAAGGCTACTGTAATATTATAAATGATGAATTACTATTTGGTCTCAAAAATATTGCTCAGCATTCAGCATTCCAGTAAGCATTTCTGGTTCTTTAGGACCATGAAAGGGTCTTCTGTCTGTTTTTAAAGTTTGGATTCTGTGTCATGTTTATTCCAAATTTACTACAAATAATTAAATAAATGTTTTGATAAGCTAGTAAAGCTGGAGTCTATCTAGTTTGTCTTAGAAATAATTCTGATGTGTTGGGGGTGAGGGACATGTTGGTTTATGTGTGAGTGTTTGTATAACAGTATTAGTTAATAACTATTAAATTGTTTTAAAGGAAGATAGTGATATAAAATAAGAACAGAAAAAGTGAAAGCTAAAACTGCAAAAACAGGAAAAACAAGAATAGGTAAAAAGATAATCTTTACAGCAGCTTTATTCTGTTTAGAACATAACTCTTCTTTCTATAACCTTGTCTGTTCATGAAAACTATACGTTCATTTTTTTTCTAACAAAATTCATGAGGGGTTTCCAGTCAGTAATAAACAGAAATTGTAGATACTGGTTTTTTTATCAAAGAACCCAATCTTTCATACACAATATCTTATTGCAGTTATCATATACAAAAATGAAGTCCCATGACTTTTTTTCAGCTATTTGTCCATCAGTCCTAAAGATAAACCTTTAGTTTTAATTGTTTAAAATCCTCTGAATCTGAGTGTATTTGGATAAAAAAATAGCTTTTTTACATGTCCACAAAACAAAATAAATGTCCTTTCTTGTTCACATTTTCAGTATGAATTTGAAATGCCTGTATTCTGAACCATTTTTCTAATGGTATATAGCAATGGTAAATCATTTTCTTCTCAAATTCTTTTGAGATTATAACATAAAATATATATTTATATAGACATTCCCTCAACTTCTGGGCAAAATTCAGTTGAAACCTCTGCTGTTTAAAAGTAAAAAAGTAAAGTAAAATCACATCTTCCCGGTTTGAAATGGGATCTTTTTTTTTTTTTTTTTTTGCTTTAATCTTTCAGTCAAAAAAAAATTCTCCTTTTTGCAAGATACTAATATGAATCTAAGAATAATTACATCTACAGGTGAAACTCGAAAAATTAGAATATCATGCAAAAATTCATTGATTTCAGTAATGCAACTTAAAAGGTGAACCTAATATATGAGATAGACTCATTACATGCAAAGCAAGATAGTTCAAGCTGTGATGTGTCATAATTGAGTTGATTATGGCTTACAGCCATAATCATGAAAACCCCAAATCCACAATCTCAGAAAATTAGAACATTGTGAAAAGGTTCAATATTCTAGGCCAGTGGTTCCCAAACTTTCTCAGTCCACCGCCCCCTTGGTGCTACAAACTCATCCTCAGTGCCCCCCACCCAGGGGTGGGATTCAAATTTCTGTGGGCGTGGCTTAATTTGAGGACATGGCCTGCTGGTCATGTGACTGGGTGGGCGTGGTTTGGTGACTGGCAAATCAAATACAAGTGGTCCTCATTTAATGGCAGGTTGCTTAGCAAGTGTTCTAATTTATGACTGGCCTCCCCAGATCTACTTGACCTATTTTTGGAGTTTTGACAGCCATGCACACACACACACACACACCCTTCTAACCCAGCTGGTTGGACTAGATATCTCATTCACTTTCTCCTCCCTCCCTTTCTCTTTCTTTTCTTTTCAGTCTACCTCCTCCTTGGTGCTACGAACTCATCCTCAGTGCTCCCCACCCCCACCCCCTATAAACAGCATTATTCGGAATAGCGGTTTGCACGACCCACCAAAGAAGATAGTAACAGTAAAATTCAAAATTGTAACAATTAATTGCACATTTATTCAAAATCCAATTTAAAAATCTTTTAAGTTAATGTTAATTCAACAAAATGGTTGCACATGATCCAGTGATACCAGGTTTTTAAAGTCTGATAGTCATTTATCAGTTTAAGAATTTACTGAACAGTGAAGCAGTTACTAATGCGATGGATGTGCTTGATGAATTGATACCAGTTTCCTAATGTCTTGTTTTAAGTCACTTAGCAGGAGTCTTAAATCACCATGTTCAGTAATCTGGAGTCGATTTCTTGCTTGGAGAGAAGTTGGATGACCACACTGAAACCACGTTCCACCAAATATGATGTTGGAAATGCAACAAGGAGCTTCTTTTAGTGCAGGATAGCAATCAGAAATTTCCTTCTGTAACCAAAACTCTTGGTACGATTTCTTAAACTTTGGCTTCAGCTCAATGTCATTTTTCAGTTCTATTAGTTGTTCCTCCACTACCCCATCTTCCTCAGTATCTAAAAATGGATTTATCACCCAATCTGGAATTTCCATCAAAAGATCCTGATACCGCTCAGACATATCTTTATGCAGCATGTCCAAATGGTCACAAAAAACATGCAGATCATCACCTTGTATCCCACCTTTCTTTTCTAGCTCAGACAAGCTTGGAAATTGGTATAGCTCACAACGGCCTATATTGCGCTTGCATAGAGCTAACTTTGAAATAAATGTAGAGATGACAGATTTGGCCTTAATAAGATTGACTTCATTTCCTTGCAACTGCAAATTCACTTCATTGAGCTTTGTAAACAGTTCTGATAAATAAGCAATGCCGTGCCTGATCTCTTTGAGTTCATCACTGAGCAAAGCATTCTTGCCTTCAAAAAACTCCACAACAGTGTCAAAAAGATTGTAAAAGCGTCTCTAAACAGTTGCTTTTGATAGCCAACGAACTTCTGTATGAAGCAGCAAACGATCCAAATCTTCATCATTCTCAACACAGAGCTCTCAGAATAGTCAATCATTGAGAGCATGTACTTTAATTTTGTTCACTGCAGTAATGACAGTGTGTAATGACTTGTTGAAGCAATCACTGAGGTTTTTTGCAACCAGATGTTGGCGATGAATGACACAGTGAATGGTAAAGACATTTGGCACTGCTTTTTTCAAGTAAGCAACACACCCACGGTAGCGACCAGTCTTTGATGGTGCTCCATCAATTGCACAAGCAAGTATGTTGGTTAGTGGAATTTCCTTGTCTTTGAAGAACTGCTCAACAACATGAAATATTGACTCCCCTTTAGTATATTTATTTAGTTGCCTTGCAAATAACTCTTGAGTCAAACTTTCGTCTTTAATAAAGTGCACATAAGCAAGAAGCAAAGATTCATTGCCTGGCAAAGTTGATTCATCCAGCTGTAATGCAAAGTGTTGCCCATAGTATGCTGCACAATACATCTTCCACATTCTCAGCCATTTCATCTATGCGTCTTTGAACTGAATTGTTACTGAGAGGAATCGGCAAAGCATCTCTGATTAGATTCTAGTAGTGAATAGAATCAGCTTTGCTGATTTTTGTTCATTTGTTTTATGTCCAAGTGGAGTGGTGCACCAAATCAATGGGGTGAGCCTGAGAGAAGGAAAGAAAGAGGTAGAGAGGGAGAGAGAAAAGAAAGAAGGAAGAAAAGGGAAAAGGGAAAGAAAGAAAAGGGACAAAGTGGGGAAGGGAGGGGGAGAGAGAGAGACAGAGAAAGAGACAGAGAGAGCTGATGTATCAGATTGAAATGAGGTCTAGTTTAGAGACCCTTTCCCATATTGAAACATCTTTGCCAGCACATTGAAACATCTTTGGCTTCTATTAATTAAAGGTTTTGTGGACGAAACATGGCCAAGACTATCAGGAAGCTCTCACATTTTGTTGAGGCTTTAAACAGGATCCATTGGACCAGATCTCCACCCTAAAAATTACTTTTCCCCAATGTATTACAGTGCCAATTCTGAAGAAGGCAAAACCAAAATGTATTGGTAAATTACAAGGAGAACAGACACACACACACACACACACACTCCCTTCTAACCCTGCTGGAGCAGGTGATTGGACTAGAATAGATATCTCATTATCTTTCACTCCCCCTCCCTCCCTCCTTTATTTCTTTTTCTTTCTGTCCCTTCCACACACCCCTTTCTTTGTCCCTTTTTTTTCTTTCCCTTTTTCTTTCTCTTTCCCTCTCTCAGGTTCACCCCACTGACTGCTGCACATTCCGGTGCAAGGGGCCTAATGGGGTGAACTTGTGGGGCCTCACCTTGAATACAGCTGTGATGGGACGTTTGAAAAGGAGAGCAAAGCCACTCTGGCTTTCCTCCCCTTTTCAAACATCCCGCTGCCGCTGCGTTCAAGGCAGGCATATCGGGAAAGCGGAGGAAAGCCAGAGTGGCTTTGCTTCCCTTTTCAAACATCCTGCTGCCCTTGCATTCGAGGCGAGGCCCTGCACATTCACCCAATTGACTGCTGTACACTCCAATGCAAGGGGCTCAATGGGGTGACCTGCGGGGCTTTGTCTTGAACGCAGCAGTGGCGGGACATTTGAAAAGGAGAGCAAACCCACTCTGGCTTTCCTCCACTCCCGCCACCACTGCGTTCAAGGCAGGCACGTCAGGAAAGTGGAGGAAAGATGGAGTGGGCTTGCAGAGTATAACTCACCTAGATCAGATGGTGGTAGAAAGGTAGGGCGGGCGGGCTGGTGCTGGCAGCGATGGGCAGGAAAATGGGAAACGAGCGCACATGTGCTACATGAGTGACTGGGCGGGGTGGGTGGGAAATGCTGTCAGTGATTGTTGCGCATGCGCAATAAGGACTGACAGCAGAAAATGGAGGAGTGGGCAGGGCCAGACAGGGGCTCTTTTTGTCGGTTCTTCAACCTACTGGAATGTTAACAGTTCTTGCGAACTGTAAAATCTCACCCCTGAATTGTGCCCTGTGAGTGGCCCACCTCCAGCGCCCCCCTGCCACCTCTTAGTGCCCCCCTGCTGGCCCCCTTGCCTCTTACCACCCCCCTAAGGCATCCCACCGCCCACTTTGGGAACCACTGTTCTAGGCTCGAAGTGTCTAATCAGCTAATTAAGCCATAACACCTGCAAAGGGTTCCCGAGACTTTAAATGGTCTCTCAGTCTGGTTCAGTAGGAAGCACAATCATGGGAAAGACTGCTGACCTGACAGTCGTGCAGAAAACCATCACTGACACCCTCCATAAGGAGGGAAAGCCTCAAAAGGTAATTGCAAAAGAAGTTGGATGTTCCCAACGTACTGTATCAAAGCACATTAATAGAAAGTTATGTGGAAGGGAAAAGTATGGAAGAAAAATGTGCACAAGCAGCAGGGATGACTGCAGCCTGGAGGGGATTGTCA